TGAAACCAGATAGTGGCTATACACTATAAAACTAGGAAATGTTTGGTGTTTGTTCCCCCCATTAGTTGTGCTCATTAATAACATTTCACTGAGATGGGTTATTTTTGTCATTCATCAAATTCCTCACTGCATTTGAACTATTAGGATAAATGAATTTAGCATGGAGAAAATACCGAAAGCTGTAACATTTGCTAATAAACAGGAAAAAAAATCATCTGCTTTGGCAATATGTTGAGATTCAATTATTATTTTTTTCACTGAAGCAGTAACTTTTTTTAAAATACTTTCACCAGTTTCAGGAAAGGGTGGGTTAGAGTCAGGGGTTTCCTGAGCCTTTTCAGAACACGGTTTTAACGTAGCAGTGTGTTTAGAAGAGCCCCTAGAGAGAGTCTTGTTTTGGAACATACTGACGCCTACACATTATCTTTGTTACATTTTGCAGTTTTGTGTGAAATTTATTTTTAATCTTTATCAAAACATGCCTATGTTTATCTTAAATTCAGAAAAGGTTTAATAATTTAAAACAAAATAACTTTTAAAATAATTAAATTTACAATGAATACTGAAACATAAAAGTCTAAAGCAAGTTAACAAGAAAGGACTTCTTAAAGATCAAAGAAAAAGTGTTTATTTTACTTGATTAAGACAAATAAAAAGTACTTTCACTTTAGCAGGTTCTAACTGGCTGTTGACAGAGACTGGTGGAAGAGAGTTTTTTCCCCAACAGAATAAACGTTTTTTCCTATAGAGGTTCACGTACTCAGAACAGACTGCTCACTGGCATTACAAAGGTATTACATTTTTAAAGAGAGATGTTCATTATCAAAATCAGAGATTGGTGATACAAAAGAAAGTTTTCTTGGCTAGTATTTTTCTGTGTTCCTATTGCTATTATTAAATGGGACCTTTATGAGTATTAAAATGGTGTGCCTTACCCTCCCTCCCCTGCCCTATGATGCATAAAAAAGGCCTGAAGAAGGGAGAGGTAAAAATTACAACAGTATAGTGCCATTTAAGTTAATGGAGCTACTCTGACTTACTGACCCAAGTTGAGGATCTGGAGCAATGTGTTTTTCTGTTTATTTTTTACATCAGAAATTCAGGTCTTGTCTACTTTAGAAAAGTCTATTGTGACTAGGGTCTAATCCATCTCCCAGGAAGTCTGCATAAAGACTCCTATTGACTTCAATAGGAAATGCACAGGCCACTAGTGAAATGATGACATAAGAGCCAAGAGAGTGAAAGCTGCACAATTCAGAATTAATTTTTAGTCAGGTAATTCAAAACATTTTGTTTATTGGGGTTTTATTTTTGTTAACACCTATTTAACCCCAATGCCTAATGGGTATTTGAGACAAAGTACAGTATGTCTTTTTAAAAGATTCAACACCCTCACCATTAAAATAAGGTGTGAAAGCTCATGATATACAGTAGAACCCCAAAGATATGAACACCAGAGTTACAGACTGACTGGTCAACCGTACACCATGTGAAACCATAAGTAACCAATCAGGCAGCAGCAGAGACAAAAATAAAATAAAATACTGTGCCTGTATTGCATCTTAAAGGTAGGCACATCTGGGCTGTCCCCACTCCCACCCCCTCGCACAGGGCAGCCACTTACAGCAAGACGCTGGGGCTGCCAGCTCAACTCAGCTGGAGCCAGCAGAGCAGGAGCAGCACTGGGGTCTATGCCGCTTTCACATACACACACCCCTGCCTGGAGGGGGACATGCTATTTTTCTCTCTCTCTCACTCATCCCCCCTTCTCCCCTCCACGCCCGCAGGGGAACAAGCTTGCAAACTCATACCAGCACTCAGTAGGGAGCTCAGCTGCTGCTGAAACCTGGCCTGGAGCGTCAGCTGCTAGATCTGGAGCCTGAACTGTGCTTTGTTCAGAGTTACAAACATTTCAGAGTTATGGACAACCTCCATTCCTGAGGTGTCCATAACTCTGAGGTTCTCCTGTACATCTCTGAAATCCCAAAGAAGTTTTTCAGCAAAATCAGGGAGACAAGACCTGGCATTCCTGGTATTTCTTTAAAAAAAAAGTATGGGGGGGGGGAGTGGAAACAAAGCCATTTGAACAACATTTCAGGCCTTCTTCATATACAAAGAAGGAAAAATGGGCAAACTTTTATTCTTAAATTATTTAGATGTCACTTTTAAAAGCAATATGCCAAATTCAACTCTACTGTAACTTCACTAAAGCTACTGGAGTCACACTAGCTTTGTATTTATCTCACTGTGTCTAAGTAATAGGAGCTTTCACCATCCAACTTGGTTTCTCATGCCTGATCCAGAGCCCTGATCATCCTGTCAGTTGCACATGTGCAACTCCCACTGACTTCAAATGGAGCTGCATTTATGCACCTACAGGGATAATCAGACCCTTGCCATAGAACTGGAAGAGATGTCACGATCACCTCACATTATAACTTTTTCTACAGGATCAACTGGGAAGAGAAGATAGGCTGTGAGAAAAGCAATCCTTGTTCAAATTCAAACACACTTGGTAACATGATGAGAAAAATATCTGTGATTTATGTTTATGTCTGGAAGTTTCCCCTAGTGTGAAAGTCTGTCTTTAAAGGAAAACCAGATCTTTCTTGCAATGTACATTCTTTTATGTTATGCAGCCTAAACTATGCATTGCAATGATGTCAATAATGTACATGGAGTGATTGTATCCTGTCTGTGTCCTGCAAGGATGACTTTGAAAGTTAGATGTTTCATCTTGACAGTCATATCCTGATCAACAAACTCAAAGAGTCAATAAATAAATACATTCAGTGAAAAAAAATGGTCTCTCTGTAAGCTGCAGTTAAACAGGAACTTGATTTGGTTTTGTATTCACATCTAGTCTATGATAATGCCCCAACACCAGGGCATTTGAGCACCACTTAAACTTACAAGGTAGAACTTGCTTTCCATAAAAGAAAATAAAAGCTGTCTTCCACTCTCATCCTTTTGAAGTCTGTGATTTACGTGCAAGTCTTATTGATACAAATGTAGAAAGGGCCAAAACTTTGATTTGGTGGAACTTTCTGAGTGGTGATCTTCTACTGCTAGAGGAAAACCGAGAGACACAGGCGCCAACTTTCCAAAGTGCCAGGGGGATGCTCAACCCCCAGTTCTGCCCCAGGTCCTGCCTTCCCCCAAGGCCCCACCCTGCCTCTTCCTGCACAGTTCTGCCCTTCCCACCCAAGCATGCTGCATCCTCGCTCCTCTCCCCTAGAATGCCACAAAACAGCTGATTGCGGCAGGCAGGAGGCACGGATCTGCGGGGCCCACCAACAGATGGGAGGCACTGGGGGGAGCTGATAGGGAGGGCTGCTGGTGGGTGCTCAGCACCCACCATTTTTTCCCATGGGTGCTCCAGCCCCGGAGCACCCATGGAATCAGCGCCTATGCAAAGAGACACTGACTGGCGTGAGTCTCTCAGTAATTAAGGCTGTAGCAAAGTCTTTATTTTTGTGTACAACAAAAAAATATAGAAATGTTTCCAGCATAAAATTGATTTTGCACACTCCTTCAAGCTACACTCCGTGCACATCAAATTTCACACATGAAGTTTGTAGCAAAAGAGAAATTTTTGGCAAAACGTGAGGTAAAGTGGACAAATTTCTGAACTTCAGTTCTTAGAAAAAAAATCAGTAATATTGGTGTTGGATATTTATGTCTGGAGTTGTGGAGGAACAAATGAATGCACACTTCATTAACCTTCCAAAGAGCTGATGGATTTCAGAAAGTCTTCATAAGTTATTTATGTCTTCTATAGCAGGTAAAAAATCAAACAAATTTGACACAGGTCTCTATAGAGCACCATAAATTATAAATTGATTATAAATACCAAGGAGACTGCTGCTGAGAGCCTCTTGCCTGGCTGGCATTTCTCACAAGTTCCCCCTTCCACTCAAGAATAGAATAACAGAAACATGGAGCTGAAAGGGACCTTGAGAAGTCATCAAATCCAGCCGCAAGCACTAATATGAGACCACTAAAACACCTGGCTGAGATGGTCTAGGTTTCTCCAACCTATTCTCAAAAACCTTTAATGACAGGGATTTTACAACCTCCCTTGGAAGCCTATTCCAGAGCTTAACTACCCTTATAGTTAGAAAGCTTTTCCTAATATGCAACATAAACCTCCCTTGCTGCAGATTGATCCCATTACTTCTTGTCCTACATTCAGTGGACATGAACAACAATTGATCCCAAAACTCTTCATAACAGCCCATAACATATTAGAAGACTGGTGAGTTTTCTTTTAACATGTTCACATAGGTCAGGTTTTCTAACCCTTTTTTCATTTTTGTTACTCTCCTCTCGACTGGAGAAGCAGAAGGTCCCTAATAGTGTGGGGGGGGAGGCACCAGTACCCAAACCGTGGCCCTGCTCCCCCTTGTCCCCAAGGTCCCACCCCACGCATCGCTCCTTGTTCCCGAGGCCCTGCGCCCTGTCGCTCGCCCTTACAGCTGGTAAAAAAGGGAGGGCCATGGCCCCTTCCCGCGCCACTGCCTCTGGACTCTCCAATTTGTCCACAGCTTTCCTGTAACGTCTGGATCTGAGCCCTGCACGCGGGACTCCAGCTCAGGGCTCAGCAGCATGAAGGACAGTTACCTGCCGCATGACGTCCTACAGACCCCACTCCCGCTAACACTCCCAGAACCCGGCCGGCCTCTGCTGCAACTGCCTCACGCCGCCGCTGACTCATCCCCCCTTGGAGATCCCCTCTGGCCTAGGCGTGGGGCCGGGGCCAACTGTTCCCAGCAACCTCCCCACACAAAGCTGCGGCTGCGCATGAGTCAGCAGCGGGGCCAGCGTCCCCACCCCGTGTCCAGCCCGCGGCGCGGCGCGGCTCTTCCCCGCAGCCGGAAACTCTGCAGGTCCCGGCCCCACGCGACCTCCCCCAGCCCGAACACCTGAGGCAGCGCTGCAAACTCGCGCGCTCACGGCCTAGCCCCGCCCCCGGCCACAGGCCCGCCTTGCTCTGTCTCACCGCGTTTCTTGCGTGTGGCGTAGTACGCGGCGCTGGGAGCGGAAGTGAGGTCATCAGTGCAGGCGGAAGCAGTGACGGTTTGTGTGTGAGGGGGACAAGATGGTGAGTTCAGGGTCGGGGTGTAGGGCTCCGGGGGCGCTTCGGCCGCTGCCGGGGGGAGGCCGCGTCGGCGTCTGTGCCGTGTGGGCCCCGCGCACCGCCGCGGCCCTGTCGCCGCAGTCCGGGGCTGGCCGCGAGGCTGTGCTGAGTCATAGGGGTGGCCGGGCCCCGCGTTTACAGCGGCGGGGAGGCGGCTTGTGCTCTGCGGTTCTGTGCCTGGGAGCAGCGGCGAGTGGGGGGTGAATCGGAAGCGGGAATCGCTCCCGCCAGCAGCAGCTCGTTCCCGCCCGGCTCCTTCCCTGCCTCTCTCCCGCCCCCCCCCCCCCCCCGCAGTGTCACGGGCGCCGTGGCACCAGACCCCCCCACCACACACCCACACCCTGTGGGATCAGTATCCCAGGGATGGGAATATCTGTTAGATTATCCCCCCTTCTCCCACTGGGATAGTTTCCCACTCCGCATCGCTAACCCCGGCTCCAGAATATGAGAGTTTGATTTAATGTCACTAGTGGGTGTTTTCGGTGGGAGGGAGTTAAGTTTTTTTTATTTGCCTTTTGGTTTCTGAGCTTTTAGGATGCATTTGAGGGCGTCTTAAAGCTTGGCTCGGCAGCCATGAGGACTAGACGATTACTTCCAAGCAATGAAAGCTGAGGTTTATACAGAATCATTTGACTCTAGGAGTTGGGGCTTTAAGAAGAACACCGTATAGTGCAAGACTTGTGATAGAGTGGCAAGAGTTGTCAATGCCTCCTGCTATTTCTTTCCCATGAGTTTGCAACAATTAATGTTTAGGTATCCACCCCTGCTTTTGGTGTAAAGTCATGCACTTAGGGGCTAGCAACAAGAATTTTTGCTATAAATTGGGATCATATCAGTTAGAGGTGACAGAAGAGAAAGGTGGTTATATTGATCAATCACAAGATGGCTATGAGCTGCAAACATGATGTGGCTGTGAAAAAGGCTCATGCAATTGTAGGATGCATCAGGCAAGATATTTCTAGTAGAGATAAGGAAGTGTTATTACCATTGTACAAAGCACTGGTGAGGCCTCATCTGGAATAATGTGCACAATTCTGGTTTCCCATCTTTAAGAAAAATGAATTCAAACTGGAACAGGTGCAGAGAATGGCTACTAGGATGATCAGAGGAATGGAGATCCTGCCTTACAAGAGACGACTTAAGGGTCTTGGCTTGTTTAGCCTAACATAATGAAGGATGAGGGGAGATATGATTGCTCTCTATAAATACATCGGAGGGATAAATACCATGGAGGGGGAGAGAGAAGTTATTTAAGTTAAGGGCCAATGCTAGCAAAAGAACAAATGGATGTAGACTGGTTATCAATACATTTAGGCTTGAAATTAGATAAAGGTTTTCAACCATCTGAGGAGTGAAGTTCTGGAACCATCTTCCGAGGGAAGTAGTGTGGGCAAATAACCTAACTTGATTTAAGACTGTTCATGGAGGGGATGGTATGATGAGATTGCCTACAAGGAGCACCTCTCCGTGCTCTGGATGTTACCAAATAGCTCCAATGGCCTGAGGTGGGACATTAAAATGGGAGGGCTCTGAGTTACTATAGAGAATTTTTTCCTGGGTTTCTGGCTGGTGAGTCTTGCTCACATGTTCAGGGATTAACTGATCACCATATTTGGGGTCAGGAAGAAATTTTCTCCAAGGTCAGATTGGCAGGCACACTGGGGACCTTCCTCTGCAGCATGGGGCATAGGTCACTTGCTGGTTTTGAACTAGAATAAAGTTGGATTCTGTGTAACTTGAATTCTTTAAATCAAGATTTGAAGATGTTAGTAACTCAGCCAGAGGTTATGGGCCTACTACAGAAGTGAGTGGATGAGGTTCTGTGGCCTGCAGTATGTAGGAGGTCAGACTAGCTCAGTGTTTCTCAATCTTTTTGTGCCAGTGACCACCTTTATATGTGTAGTAAAAAAAAAAAAAGTGTGCCCCCCACTTGAAAAAATTGTGGCCCCCCTACATTAAGCTCGTGCTTCAGCCTAGGGTAGTGTGGGTAAAGCTGAAGCCTGAGCCCCACCACCTGAGGCTGAAGCATGTAACTTCACAGGACCCCTGCAGTTTCCCTGCTTGCTATCCCCCTAAACCTGACCCTGGACCCTCTTGTGAGTCGCAACCCCCAGGTTGAAAAATACTGGACTAGATGGTCAGGATTGATCCCTCCTGGCCTTAAAGTAGAAGTCTATGAAGCAATAGCAGTACTTATAAATAAATGGAGATATACCTCTAGAACTGGAAGGGACCTTGAAAGGTCATCGAGTCCAGCCCCCTGCCTTCACTAACAGAAACAAGTACTGATTTTGCCCCAGATCCCTAAGTGGCCCCCTCAAGGATTGAACTCACAACCCTGGGTTTCATTAGGCTAATGCTCAAACCACTGAGCTATCCGTCCCCCCTGTCAAGTACTTGATGTGTTTCACTCTTGGGAATGTTTCTGGCTCCTCGGCCTTTGTTTACTTTACTTCATCCATTGTTTTCTAGTCATTCCCTCTTATACAATAATAATTTCTCCTGTATTTTCATATTCCAAATGTGTGATGATAGTGCAAGGAGGCTCCATTGTGCTAAACACTGTACGTTCACATAGTAGGAAACAGTCTCTGTCCAAAAGAGCTTACTGTTTAAATAGACAAGTCAGGCAGTGTGAGAGGGGAAACGGAGGCACAGAGAGGTGAGGTGGCTTGTCCAAGGTCTCAGTAGCTGAATGGCAGAGCTGGGAATAGAGCCCCGATCTCCTGAGTGCCAGTCTTCTGCATTTATTTAACTGTTTTATGTCTCCTGGAAAGTCAGTGCCTTCAATCCCATCCCCCAATAAATACATACATACATTTTGTTGATCTTCCCTGAGTTCCCTCGACTTTGTTACTATGTTTCTGGGGTAACAAGATGTTTAATCTTAATTGAATACAAAATTCCCCAGACAGCTATGCCAGTCAATCCCTATGAAGTAGAACTGTCTTCTACCTTCTCTATTACCCTTTGCATAAAGAAAAATAGCAATTGCCATGTCTGATCATTGGTTCAATATCCTCCACCTGACAGAGTCTAGATGCTTCAGAGAAGAGTGCAAGAAACCTTGTAGTGGACAATTATGGAACAATCTGCTCATAGAAGTTTCTTCCTAAACCCTAATTGATGGCACAGTCATTTTCATATTTGTGTTATAGTAGTGCCCAGAAGCCCCAATCAGGATTGGGACCCAGTTTAGGTAGGTGCTGTCATACACATAGTAAAAGAGTGTTAAGTTCTTTTTGTTCTGCCTTTGCAAGTTTGAGGAGCAAACACATGATATTACACTATTCCAAGAGATCTAAGCACTGCTGAATCACTTCAAGGTGTCCTAATTAAATGGCATTTATAGTCTCAGTTAAAGATCAGTCACCCTGAAGACTAAGGCTTGTGCATATGTAGTTTTAAAGAGACATCAAACAGCTCAATGGATAACTCTTTTTTGGTATAACTACCAAGAAATTAATCTAAATTTTCATTTGTCAGAGTTAACAGAAGCACTGAATGGGTCCTAATTCTGTAAAAGTAATCCTTGCTTTTTGTTTCAGAATTCCAGAGGAGTTGGATCTCAGCTTAAGGATAGCATCCCAATTGCTGAATTTTCAGCTAGTGGAGCATTTGGAGGTCATGATATTCTACGCAGAGGGTATGCCTTGTCTGCCTGCTAATATAGTGTACCATAACCAAACTGAAATTCTAAGTATGTAGGAAGAAAGTTTATATGTATTATGCACCTGTTTTAGAACATGCGCTTCTTGGCCATATACTTTATATCAAAAGATATGTCTAGTCCAGTAGTCCTCAACCTATTTACCATCGTGGGCTGCATATGCAGCTCTCAATGTGGGCTACGTCCACACAATATACACCTCTACCCCGATATAACGCTGTCCTTGGGAGCCAAAATTTTTTACCGTGTTATAGGTGAAACCACGTTATATCTAACTTGCTTTGATCCGCCGGAGCACTGCTTTACCGCATTATATCCGAATTTGTGTTATATCGGGTCGCGTTATATCGGGGTAGAGGTGTATATACTACCTGTACATCTACATGGGCCGCAGCTGTGTGCTGGTTAAGAACCACTGGTATAGTCACTTTATGTATAATTATAGTAGGAGCATTGTGTCAAGAGCTTGTTTCCTATGAAACCTCATTCTTAGAAGCAAATAATAAATACAAACAGCTTTGTAATTAGTGATCTGTATAAGGCTGCACCTTTGAACAACTGATAGAAAAAGCTTAATTTCCATCCCTGCTCATATATGAACTGTGTTTTCTTTTTTTTTTTTAAAGAAAGTAGTTGCACATGCTCTTTTAACGTTGGCCAAAATGGTTGACTTCAGCTACTAATGACATATGAAATAGAATTAACAATGTGGAAAATGGCCTAATATTTTTACACTACTTGGTAATGTTTCAGATGGTTGGTAGTCAGAACCATATCTGTATACATGTGTGTATATAAAATATACATCTAGAATAGAAGTATAAATACTTCTGTTGAAATTTAAAATGCTTATCGAACCGATTCAGAAAGAAAATCCGAGGCTTGCATGTAACAGTATAGTCAGGGAATTAAGTACCATGTTGTGACGTTCAATCCAGACTGGTAAGGGTTGTGTCACCACCTGCCCTACAACTGTGAGTGCCTTAAATGCTATGCTGCTATGGCCCACTGCCTTGATACCAATAGCTAGCTTTACAAGCATGGAGGTCACACCCTGGCTTCCACCATCCAGTTACTTTTTTGCAGAGTGACCCCAGTGCCTTCCCAGTCCTGAATTTCCACAGAACCATCTACCATTACCACAATCTGCTGAGGTTCCCAGAATTGTGAGTTACCCCTTTCAGTCTCAGCAGGACAGTGTGTTGCTACTGCTAAGCTGTGTGACAACTCCCTGACACACCAGCTTGTCCGCCTTGACATCAAACTCTTTAGGACTCTTATCCAAACCTTGCTTTGCAGGAAACAATCGGTGAACTCCCAAGCTTCCCAGAGACGTCACTGTGCTGTGTCCAGCCCTCCTGAACATTCACAGAGTAGTCATTTGTTGCTCCTTTAAAAAGACAATTCACTGCAACTCATTAATTCATGGGAAGGGGGGGGGTTACAAATGCTCTTATTTCAATCACAGCACTGAATTGATTTATGGTAAAAGTAAAACAAGGTCATTAAACAAAAAGTCATAGGTTTAAGTGATACCGAGTATAAGGAATAAAGATAGAAAGGATTACAAGGAAATAAAAGTGAAAACACGCTTCTAAGACTAAAACCTGGTTTAAGTCTCTTGTTCAAAGAAGTGTTTCTCACCAAGGGTATGTTTACACTGCAGTGTAAACTCAGGGTTCGATCTGAGGCTCAAACCTAATCCCACCTGTATGCACACAAATTGTGGTAACCCAGGGCTCGGACCCTGGGTCCCAAGACCCCACGGGGTGGCGGGTCCAAGCCTCAGTCAAACCATGACCCCGTGTTCAAGCCCTGTTGCTTTGTAGCATAGACGTAGCCCCACTAGTCTTGTGCTCTGGGAGTCTGCCAAAAGTATCCCACAGGCTGACTTTTTTTATCCTCTGAACTGTCAAGTTGGGTGGACAGTCAAGTTTTCCTATGCTGCACTATGAACAAAGGGCTAAAGTGGCCACATTTTGAGAGGGTGCTTGGAAGACTGGGATATAAGTGGTTGGACTCGGGCCTGCATAATGCAGTGTAAACATTGGAACCCCAGGTTAAGACCCAGGGTTCAACAATTCCTAACCTGTGATTACAAATGATTGTAGATGTTTAAGCCTTAGGTTTACAAACCCAGGGTCTGCTAACTTGAGTTCTTCTAATTCTGAGCTTCACAGAGCTTAAAGTGCTTGGTTCCTTTGTCTCCTCAGGTGAAGGGTAATTTCGGGGTTCACTCCCCCTCTATAGTCTGGTAAATTTTTGAAATGTATTCTTCTGAAGTGTATCCCTAGATACATTTCCTTTTCCCTGCTGCGTGTGAATGCCATGCTGCCTCCTGCAGACTGTATGCTGTCTTCTCCTCCACTGGTGACTTTTACAATGCAAATGATCTCTTCCTGCAATTTCTCATACAAATGAGTAGCCCATTGAATTTGGCCACACCTGGCCTTTTTCCTTTGTTTGAGGAAAACCTGTTTAAACCAGGCATGTCAGGGGGATTTGATAAACACCTTTTAGTCATATATTTCCAGCCTATCTCTAAAGTTCTTCAAGGGTTGACTGTACATAAATCACATAAGAATATTAATGATCAGTGAGTTATTAGTTTTCCAATGACCTATTACATTACACCTTTTAGATACAGATTGTAATATTAGTGAGTTGGGGTACACTGAGTTGGTCAGGGCAGCTGAAACTCATTGCTGGGTACCAGGCAAACCCTTGTCTTTTGGCACAAGGATGCTCTTAGGGTCACACATAGGGTGACCAGATGTCCCGATTTTATAGGGACAGTCCTGATTTTGGGGGCTTTTTTATTATATAGTTACCTATTACCCCCCGTCCCGATTTTTCACACTTGCTATCTGGTCACCCTAGTCACACATGTAGATTATCCATAAATTAACCAATAACACCAGGGTGTATTCAGGTAGTCAAGTTAAATTTGTCTTCTGTTTGTGAGCTGGAGCTGGGGGAAGAAAAAACATGACTGCTTTTATGTTAAGCTTGAAGCTGAAGCAGAAAAAGAATGAAGTTCTTGTACAGGTTTTTTCCTTGTTCTAAATGAGCACTAATTATAGCTTGATGTTTGTATCTGGAATTAATGTCAGACTAGAAATTGGTGCATTGATTTTTGGTTCTTCTGTGACTTTAAAAAAAACCCTTTTGTTTGCATTTTTAGCTTTACAAGTGTAAAAAATGAACTTTTGCCCAGCCATCCTTTGGAACTGTCAGAAAAAAATGTAAGTGCAATACTGAATTTGATAACCTTTTAAAAGTTTCTTACCATCAGCTAGTTACAAAGTTTAAGGGCTATTGTTACTGTTAACTGCTTGACAAGCGCAATTTCAGTGCATCCCAGTCAGTGGTGAATAGCATTCTAACATTAATTGAATAAAGATGCCTAACAGCAGTATTGCTGTGATATAATTTGTGAATTTTTGACAGGTGGGGGTTGGTTAATACACCTCTACCTCGATATAACGCTGTCCTCGGGAGCCAAAAAATCTTACCGCGTTATAGGTGAAACAGCGTTATATCGAACTTGCTTTGATCCACTGGAGTGCACAGCCCCGCCCCCCCAGAGCGCCGCTTTACCGCGTTATATCCAAATTCGTGTTATATCGGGTCGCGTTATATCGGGGTAGAGGTGTAGCTGAAAGAACTGCTAGGGTTTATCTCAGCACAGGAGATTTGATGGAGTAGAACTAAACATCTTCAGGAGATACACTTTTGGGTTCATTTTAGTAATATACCAAAATATTACTCCTGTATTATGCTGAAATGGTTATGGTTGTTCTTATTGCTGTAGAAGTTTATAAACTCTACAAATTGCATTAATAGCAAAGAAACTAAATATCTTTGCTTGGTATGTCATAAGCCCCACTTTTAAATAGCAAAAGACACTGGCAAGGCTAATGTAGTAAGCTAAAGAAGTAAAGCTTCTGGACTTCTGATGAAAATTACAGAGACCGACTAGACCAGGGGTAGGCAACCTATGGCACGCGTGCCGAATGCGGCACGCGAGCTGATTTTCAGCGGCACTCACACTGCCCGGGTCCTGGCCACCGCTCTGCGGGGGTTCTGCATTTTAATTTAATTTTAAATGAAGCTTCCTAAGCATTTTAAAAACCTTATTTTCTTTACATACAACACTGGTTTAGTTATATATTATTTAGACTTACAGAACGAGACCTTCTAAAAATGTTAAAATGTATTACTGGCACGCGAAACCTTAAATCAGAGTGAATAAATGAAGACTCGGCACACCACTTCTGAAAGGTTGCCAACCCATGGACTAGACCTTTGATGTTTTGCCTAGAGATGGTATCCTGTCCTGTAACTTATACTTCTGCTTGTTTATGCTAAATGTCTTCTTTGGAAACATCAATGACTCTTACACCAATATATTGTTATCATAAACGTTACAAGTATAACTTCTGAATATTAAGAAAATACAAAAACCAGGAAAAATCACAATCTTCTGTCACTGAATATGGTGCTGCTATCAGTAGCATCAATGCAAAACCTGGAGCCAAACCCCCCCTCCCCTTCCCTCCCATGGAAATACTGGAAATACATGCAAAATGATTTTTAGTTTATACTTGAAAAGTTTATTTGACCAATCAAAATGTCTTTTGTTATCAGAAACCAGTACCTATTAAGTAGGTATCCATACGCTATATTTCTTGTTATTAGTGCCAGAGGACCCAGTAAGGAGTCAAGACTCAACACTTGCTTTCCTAAATGATTTTAAACACTGGGACTCGTGTACAAGATATTTAACAAAAATAAATATCTGCTGAGATTGTATATAAAGTAATTTCATTATACTGGAAATAGGAAAAGTTTGCCAAATATAGGCTTCTTATATTTTTCAATGATAGCAAAAAAAGTTACTCTTCTTGTCAGTTTATAAGGCCTGCCATGGATTCTTTTGGGCCAAGATGCTTGGCTTTCCCCTTTCTGGGCTACTAATATTTTAATAATTTCTTGAAATTGCTTAGTGACACTTCAAAGTAATACACAACTACTCCACTTGGTGGAGTCCTGTGTATTCTGCTTGCCAAAAATAACAAAATACAGCTTTAGCAAGTAGCAAGCAGCATGTAATGCATGATTTTAAAATTAGTTTTTCTTTCTCAGTTATTTAAAACAAATGAGTTAATATTCTGGCAATTTTCTTACACATCGAGGTTTATAAATCTAGCAACCTATTTATTGTATTTTTTTTTTTTTTTTTTTGCTGAGGATGTTTTCCATATGCATGTTCATTGAAGTATAATTTTACAAATATATTTTCTATAGCTATAATTAAATGGAGCTTTTAAAAAAAAATCTTTTGATAGTTTCAGCTAAACCAAGATAAAATGAATTTATCGACTCTGAGAAATATTCAAGGACTCCATGCACCTCTAAAGCTGCAAATGGAATTCAGAGCAGCAAAGCAGGTAGGCATTTTTAATTATTCTAGTAATATGAATTGCCTTAGTTAAGTTATAGACATATCTGCAAACATGCTTTTTAAAAAGCATTTGTTTCTTTCAAAATATATTAGATAACAGCTGTTCATCTTCTATACATTTTTCAAGCAAACTCTAAGCAGAACTGACTTTATTGCTCATGATAAAACTAATGCTGCTTATTTGAAACATTGAGTTCTGTTATCATAGCAAATTCCAGGTGAAGTGAAGCTGAACTTCTTAAGTCTTGTGTGAGATTCTCCCAACCTGCAGGCCTTGGGAGGAGGACCACTGGAATGGAAGTTATATCCCTGATTTCCTTCCCCAAGACCAATGTTCTTTCTGGCAAACCTCCCGAGGAATCACAGGAAGGGAACTCTGCTCCTGCAAACTAAAGGAGTTTGGGAGGCTGGAGCATACAAGGAGATGGGGGAGAGATGGGGGCAGTAAAACCCTATGTGCACCCCCCCCCCCCCCCCATCAGCCCTTCTTTGTAAGCCTTGGAAAGTTCACTGGGGACCAGCCCCCAAAGTTTAAGTTCAGTGGGAGATTGTACCCACCACCCCTTCTGAGTTCATTGGAGATAATCTTTGACTGCTGCATGTCCGTCTCCCCCCCCCCCCCCCCACTCCACCCCCAGAAGCCATAGTAGACTTGTTTGTCCCCAGTGAATGTATTTGAGGTAATTAAAGATTGACAAGCCTGTTTGGGCTTGTTTGCGGCTAAGGCACCTACTACAGATGTGTGTTTAGGTGGAATAGGGAACTACCCCATCCTAAGGGTTAGGTGTTGGCCCACAACAAGCCTCATAAGGTTTGCTGTGGGTTTCCTGCCCTGCAGACACCAGAAGACCTACAAGAAATGCTGGAATTTTTCCTGCTCTCACCCAGTCACTCCTCCCTGCAGATCTGAGATCTGTTGGGGGAGAGCTTTTCTCCCACAGCTTCTTGCATATCTGGCAGGAAGGGAGAGTGGTGAGAGCAAAGACATTTTCCCCCCTACATGTGGATTGCCTTAGTTATGCAGGAGAGAAGAAATTCTTGTGACCTTAGGATACTTGTTGGCCTTTGCTTGTTATCTTTAGTGTTCTTAGAAGATAATATGAACTCTTACCAGTGATATGTGCCTATACCTTAACTTTACCTTTTTACAGCATTTGAGTTGGAATAGTATTAGTATTGGAACTGATTAAAGTGCAGCTGTTCTAGCAAATATTATGGATAATTACAAATCCAGTATACCCACAAGCAAGAGACAGCTATGCTTTGTTATATATAAAAAACAAGTACTCGCAATAACTTACCAGTAAAGTTTTTCTATGTCAAAGGCAGTTGTGAATACAAATATGCTGCTGTCTGATGTGCATCTTGTGATCTGAGCTCTTTACTTGTCATTTTAGTCAGTTGCCTTACTACATACGCAGTGACATGTGCAGAGCCTTCCTCCACAATCATATGGTGGTCTGATGGTGCACATGACATAAACCTGTCCTTTTGAGCAAGAGCCAATCTCAAGCTTTGTTGTTGTTGTTTGTTTGTATTATTGTAGTGCCTAGGAGCCCTAATCATGGACCAAGACCTCATTAAGGCTGCTTCTAGGGGAGATCGGAGAAATGATGTTCATAATCTAATGACTCTTAGGGAGGGCCATACAAGTTCATTAATATAATGGTATAGCCTGTTGATGTGCTTTTTACTCTCTTTTGATATATGGATTGAAAAAATAAAATTGAAAATAAATTAGCTTACCAAATTATTGAAATGTATGTTTACTAATCTTGTAACTCTCAAGCTGTCACTCAAGGTAAAGATACTTTGTAGTGACCATTCACAGATATTTGGCAGAAAACAGTGGGCATATTTTCCTACTGAAATTGAAAACAGTTTTTCATGATAGTGCATTTTGATGTTTTGATCCCATGCTTTGACTATAGGACGAGGTGCCAGACAGGTCTTGAGACAAATGTGTGGAGGCTAGAATATCTCTACACTCGAGTCCGTGTTATCATTCTGTCATTTCCCAAAGAACAAATTACTTTGCCTGTCACTTTTAATTACAGTCGGGACTTGGGAAGCCTGAATATGAGAAACCTGCGTTTCTTTCTGACTCTTGCTGTGTTTTCACAGATCCAACGTCTTCCGTTTCTGCATAGCTCAAATATAGCGCTGGATACACTGAGAGGAAATGATGAATGCATTGGTTTTGAGGATATTCTTAATGGTAAATTATGTTTTCTTTCAAAGATTTTGTAAGCTGTCAAAACTTTCTCAGGGCTATCAGAAAGGTGAGATTTGGGAACTGTCAAGATTTCTGTGCCCCCGACAGTTTTTTATTAATTCAAGTTTAGAGGTTAGAAAAGGGATATATCAGGAAAAAAATAAATATGGTGAAGCTGCTTGTTCTCCTGGGGTTATCCTGAAATGTGAAGCAAAATTGTGTCTTGTATTTGGATGTGTAACATATCCCCTAACCCATGTTTTAATAGTAGTGAAAGAGAATAAATGCCAATAAAAATTTATTGGAGAAGTGGTTTTTATCATCTGGGGCTAAATTATGGTGCCTCAGTATTCCTGGAGGAGTGCTGAAGGGAATGTGCCTCAGAGGGGCCCAGTTTGTACTGTGCATAGAAGGAGCACTGTCTGCCCTATCCATTAGGGCAAAGTATATTGCTTCCCAATGTGCATTGCCCCCACTCCAGTGGTTGATATGAAGGGGGAGTCAGTCTGCCCCCATGCATAATTTTGCTCCTAGAAGCCCTGTTTAAATGAAGCACCACATGTGGTGTTTGGGTTGCACTCCAGTATGATTGCTGGTTTTTTAGTGTGAAGTTTGAAGTTCTCATTCTGATATTTCTCTTTCGATATACTATCTTACCTACTAGACTTGGGCTCTGTCTTTTTCTATACACATGCACCCACTTGAAACTAATTTTCACTGTTGCTTTTTAGTGTTGTAACCATTCTCTAATTCTATTTTTTTTTTAATTAAGTACTGGGCTTTGATCATTACTTTGTAAAACTTTCTTTTGTCACACTCATGTTGCTGATATGCCATTTCAACTTAAAACGAAGTTTAAAACTTGTTGGTTTTTCTGTCTGTTGTACTTAATTTATTGTCCTAGGTCTTGTATGATGTGTAACTCTCTGGTGCTTGAACATAGCATACCTTCCTGTTGCCCCTCCTCCTTTTCCCTAGAAAGGAAACCTTTGCCGGGTTTCCTTCCCCCGGTTGTTGCTTAGAACAGATATTTAAAGGTCGACAGATTTGAAGCATACACTGCAGAACTTTTCTCAGTAATCAAGATGTGCACATTGCTATAAACCAGACGTTTTCAGACTTTTTGTATTGGTGACTCCTTGCACACAGCAAGCCTCTGAGCATGACCCCCCTCCTTATAAATTTAAAAATGGGGGAGGGTGGCAATTTAATGTAATGGGGGCTCAGGGCTGTCAACCCCACAGAGCTGACACCTCACGACCCCTATGTATCCACCTTGTGACCTCCCGAGGGATCACAACCCCCAGTTTGAGAACCCCTCCTATAAACATATACATCTAGAGGAAATATAGTCATCTTGTCTTATGATAGTTTGTTTCAAAGTGTTACTAACTTTGTAAATATTTTACTGTCTATTTTCTAGACCCATCGCAGAGTGAAGTTATGGGAGAACCACATGTGATGGTGGAATACAAGCTTGGTTTATTGTAACACAAATGTAGTCCGAACCTACTGTTCATGAAAACATTTCTTGTATGTGTCTTTATACTATACTACAGGTTCAGTGTACAATATTAATATTACATTGACACAATGTTTTTGTTAACTTACCCACAGGAGAGCTCTTGCCTTACTTGATGAATAGGCACATTAAATGTTTAAAGTCTATTATGATTTATTCTCTGCTTACTGTCAATATAAATGTCCTACAACTGGGTATTTTAAAACTGTACAAGAAGACGACTCTTCATATATTGCTCAGGACAATAGCTGCTTAGTTTTTGAAATATTATACATATACTACAAGAAGTCCAAAAATGCATGTGCATTTTAAAATTGATTACTGTAGGTAAATGCAGGGAATGCATGTTCTTGCAAAAGAACTTTTTTCAATATAAAACAGGCATTTTCCACTGAATCACTTTTTGTTCTTGAAATCTTTTAAACGTTGAATAAAAAATTGCTATAAATGCTGTGGTTTCCAAAATATATTTAATCACAACTCAAGTCCCTGACCTCCAACCCAAGCAATGTTACTCTCATCACTTGCAGCCCCTTTAAGGAACCTCAGTAGCTCCCTGGTAGAAAAGAACCCTGCCACACACATTTGTCTGCCCCAGCTAAGATGTCCGAGATGCTCATTCACTGGAGCTCAGTTGCCCCTTAGGATAGAATTAGACACTGCTCCCTAGGAAGAGTTGGGAGCTGAATTTGGCTTTACCTAGCTACTTTTGAGGGGGGAAACCCTCCTTTTGGATTTCACAACAGCCTTACTGGGTACCATTGCTCTGTGAAATTAGAGCTTCTGTAGCCCTATTTTGGGCTATGTTCCAGCCTACATGGAAACTTAAAATAACCACTTAGCAACATTTAACAGTTAAGGGAAAAATACCACTGTTGAGAAAGAAAATGTAAAATTTAAAATGTTTGTATGAACAAAGGCACATCTGACAGACTGCATCACAGAAATGTTACAGTAAGAACATAAATTTTTATTTTACATAACTGCAGAACATAAAATTAAAACTGAACTGACTTGGTTGTAAGTAAACAATCTTATCTGGGGATAACCAAAGGGAGATTCTAAAATTAAAAGCTACACAAATGCATCTTTTATAAATGAATAGCCAGATTAAAGCTGTTTTCTGTAAGTTTAAAGGGTGTATTTTTATTTAAATTACACAGGCTGTGTTATAATTAACTTAGAATAGCTTGTATGCATAACGTATTATAAATCCTTGCAAGAAGTTTAGGACCATTCTCCTGTTGATTCTCTTCCCATACAATGGTCAAAGTGTGTCATGTACATTTTGAGAATGTAACCAGCCTAAATGTTACGGATTGCTGCATCTTTTAGAAGCAGGGTCTATCGCAAGAATTATGCTCCAGTATCTGAACTTTCTTCTTTTAAAAAAAAGAAAAAAATCAATCATCCATCTCAAGACCCAATGATTGCAAAGAAAACCTTCCAAAAATAAGCTTAATGCAATGAAGTCTCCCCAAGTCTGTAAATGGCCTGAAACAGTAATTCTGAGACATGGGAACCGCATCCATTCAGCAGATTTGGATGTTAACTCAAGCATAATGTTGAGAACTTAAATGTCAGCCTTGTTCTCTACTCTAGCATTGCTGAATACTTCCACAGAAATGTGCAGGTACAAGTTTATTCCACAACCCCAAAGTGTCTGCTATGCCTGTCTATGTGCCAAAAGCCCCAACTGTTCCCTACTCCTGTGGGCCAAAACAACCAGCTTCACTTCCTGCCAATTCTACAATGCAGTTATGCATTTTTAATACAAAATCTTGCAGCAAATTGAAGAATGTGGAGGCAGCATGTTACACTCCAGAAGGGATACTTTCCTGACTGCATTATTTATTTTCATATTTAACTTAGTAAAAAGAAAAAAAAACTTCAATTTCTAAATTACCTAAGGTGGTTGTGGAATTTCCAGTCTGCTTCACTGGAGAGCTGCAGAAGTCAGGGAGTCTTGTTATCAAAGCAAATTTACATCGTTTGCTGTAGAGTATGTAGAGCCTTGCATGTACATAATCTTCACTTAAGTGAGCTTAAATTGGACAAATGAGTGAACAAAAATAGGCCTGTTAATTTTTTTTTTTTCCTTGCTCTTTAGGGTGGTTTTCTGGTCTTCACTGTGAGCAGTCATAATTAGGATATTTGCTGCAAATATCTGGCCCAGCTATTAAGTGACTAGATTTCATGGTGAGGCCTTGGCATAGAGAGAGGAGTAGAAGGAACTAAATGGGGGGGCGAGGACAGTGGTATGGGAGTAGTGAAAGGGTAAAAGGAGGGCACAGGTTAAGCAAATAGATTCAAGGTATAGGCTGAGGTGGATGTGGATAGCCTTGAAGGTAAGGACAAGAAGTGTAAACTTGTTACTTCGGGCAAGGGGGAACCAGGGAAGAGTTTTGAAGAGGGGAGCAGCATTGTCTGATCTATCTCTGAGAAACATCATAATTTTAGCAGCTGTGTTTTGGACAGGGTAGAGCGGGACTCAAGTTGGTAAGAGAGGTCATAGGAAGAGGTTAATGTGGAAGAAGAGCAGATGGGGACAAAGGTTTTGGCCCTGTTGACAGGAAGGAAGAATTTGATTTTTCAATACAGTCCAGAGAAAGAAGTGACAAAGCTAGGAGGAGAGAGGGATCAAAGCTGACACCAGTGTTGTGGGCTAAAGAGCTAGAATGTATGGCTGGCTCAACTACTTCCCTCTTTATATTTTATCTTACAATCAAATCACATTTGCTAGAGTAAGCTTTCTGCCTGGCAGACAAGCTAAACTAGTTCTGTATCCTCTAAGATTGGCTAGCCTTTCGCAGTTCCTTAAATGGACAGTAAGAATGCTATTACAAAATGCTGTTTTGCTTAGATAAGGATGTTTGCATGTGATCTCCAGTCATTTAACTTGAGTGTCAAGTACATACTATTTTGTATCACTAGCTGCAAAAGAAATTAAATGATATGTTGGTGGCCTGAGCTGCTTCTAAATATTACTCCAGCAATTGCATTGCTTTGTGCATGCTTGTCTGTCAAAACAACAAGATCCAAACGTTAAGACGACTAGACAGATCTCTGCTTTATTAACTTACAGCAAAAAAAAAATGCTTGCATTTATACAAAAATATTTCACTTGTCAAATCACTCAATTGCTACAAAATTTAAGGTTTTATTAAAAATGTATAGTACAGTAGTGCCTGGAGGCCTCAACCCATCTGATGTCTCATGCTATATACTGAATAAATATGGGATGATTTTACATAAATTTTGGCATAACTTCCTATTTATTTCAATCTAAGTGCTATATTCCCCAGAAACATTTTGCATCTCCATATAGACACAAGTCCACAAAACATGGTTTTATACATTTTGTGTGCTGCAAGATCTACATAAAATGTTCCATTCTCCCACCCATGTAATATGATCATGTGTGAAAATTCTCATTTGGGCCAATGGAATGTCCCATTGCACAACTAGGTTTTCCAGATTACCAACAGGGAGTGCCAGGGACAATGACAGAACCTCCATAAAGAATGGGAAATGAATGAAGGTATCCATCCTCTTTTCTGAATCACTACATTTTCCAGGAGTTATTAACTTGGACATGGCAGCTTCACTCTACATATTTTCTGGCATTAACTATTATATAACCTGTGTGAGCAGAGTATCTAGATCAGAATTGTGTGTGGTCTAGATGAAGGGCCTAAACAAATCTTCACAGCACTCTTATGAAAAAATGTCCTTTCTTTTGTTAAAAGCTGTGTACATCCCTGAAGCAAAAAGTTGTTTACAATTCAAGTGCTTTTTTCAAAGTTTGTGTTTAAGAGCCCTTAGACTCGCATTTGAACTTATGCTTTCTATTTAGTGAGCATCACCAGTGTACTTGGTGGTGTACAAATGTAAAGGAAGACAAAGTCCTTGTCCTGAAGAGTTTGCAGTCTAGATCATACACATAATATACACCTTTTATAGCACCAATCTTGATATGGTGCCAATATTTTTGGTGGATTACTTCTGAAAGGCTTTCCTAAAGCTAAGTAGGGTGTTGTTCTTAAAGTGAATTTGAATGAAGAGAAGAAGGTCATTTGAGTTGCATGTGCAGATTTGTGGTCTGTCTCTCCTATATGGTAACAAAGATGTTTAGCTTACCAGAATTCTGTCCTTTTCCTGTTTAAAGTGTATGTGCATATGCAGTTAGTTCACATTTCACAGTTGATTTTCTAACATAACATCCTTCCTCATATGGAGGCTAAAGTGAACTCCAACCAATTTACTTTGTTCTAATTACTGCACCAAATCTCTGCTTAATAAATACAGCACTATGGAGTCTCTCTTTGCTTGCTGATAGATTAGAGCAACCTTAGCTGTAAAAACGGTCCATGGGTTTTTTTAAAAAACAGGGAGAGGAGGGAAGGGCAGAGTTGTGCATTATATAATGCAATTGCCTGCCTGATTTGTGCATAAAGGTATCCTAGTGCAAGACCAAGGAGCACTAGAATTCCAGTTCTAGTGCTAACTTGCTCTGTGACCCTGGATAAGTCACTTTACCTCTCTGTTTCCTCATCTCATAAACAGGGATGATAATATCTGCCTCAGAGGGTGAGAATTAATTACTTAAATAATTGTAAAGTGCCTTGAAGATGAAAAGTGCTATATAAGTTCTAATTACAATTAGAGTGCATTCAATGCAAAACAATTAGATGTGTGGGTCAGATTTAGCCACTTCATCAAGGTTATAAAAGAAATAAAGATCCACAGAAGAGAAAGATCTTATGGCCTTTCAAGAGAGGAGCTCTTAAAGATGCTACAATGGTTTAAGTGGAGCTATGATGTAGATAAATGAATGATATATATACCTTGGCCCATGATAGGAGGAAAAAAGGACACAATGAAATTAAAAGGCAGTAGATTTAGAACTGATTAAAAAAAACCCCTTTTACACAATCTGGCTTATGCACATACTTAAGTTTACATAATGCAAGTAATATTTGAAGTCAGTAAGACTACTCAGTGCATAAAATGCATGTGCTTAAGTCTTTGCAGAATCAGGGCCTCTCTAATTAGTCTATAATATTATTGAAACAAATGATTTAGCAGATTATTAAAAAGGCTTAAACATTTAGGGCCAGACCTTGGGTCCGTTGAAATCAATGGCAAAACTCCCAGTTACTTAAATGGACCAGGATCTGCCTCTTAGAATACATCTGCAGTTAAAATAACTA